CCTGCCGAAGGGCGTTGCAGTGACCGTAGTGCATCATGTCGAAGCAACCATCCATGTACACTCGTACAAGCTTCTTCTTCTTCCTTGACCTTCTCCACGGCCAACCCAATTCGAAACCTAATCCCAACGGCAGAGACGCACCATTAATGTACAAATGCATCAAAGAGGCCCCTACCGCCACCACCACACCACCTACCAGACACGTGGCCGCTATCTTCCTCGCATCTGAATCCATGTCTAGAAAAGTTCTTGCTTTCTTCGGTCCTCAGATCCCTTGTTTCTTATCCTCCATTCCGAAATTTCTCTTCCAATTGCTTCACTGCACGCTTGTATTTCCTTTTCTTTACAACAGTTTAACGAATCATGTGCTCTACTTTATGCAAATCAAATGCGTGAATTTGAATTCCCACTTGCTTTCCAATGTTTTTTTTTTGGAGTTTCCCGTTAGTGTCTTTCTGGACCTTTCGAAACGAGAATAGGATATACGCAGCCCTGGTCGCCCGCGCTTCTTTTCTGATTCTCTCTGTTGTTCTCTGCTGTTTGGTGGAATGCTACTCCATTTAGCTTTTCTTTTTTATTTTTATTGTTTATATAATAAATTTTAAAGAAAGTGCCTAAAATTTTGTACATGTTATAATTTATTCTAGAATATTTTTAATTATAATGGATTGTTATAATTCTTTATTTATTTTAATGTAAATTTTTTTAATAAAATTTAAAATAATTAAATTATATTTAAAAATTTTAACCAATAATTTAAAAATATAACTCTAAAATAGAAAGTTCATTTGCTAGAATGGTAATAATTTGTTAAAATAAAGCCTAAATTAATATAACTTCATGAACATATAGGTAAATATTAAATTTAAAAAAGTAAGCATTACTACCACTTGTCACTATGTTATTGACTGCATATAAATTTTAAATTTATTAATGTAAACACAGTATTTTAAATAAGATAAATTAAAAAAATTATTGTAAGATTTATTATAAAGTACAAGTACCTCCAATTTTTTTAAATTGAACCAAAAAAAAACTTAGTATTGCAAATTTTATTCCTTAACTATTGGCATTGAAGTGTTAAATGAAATTAAAACAATCAAATTATTGTTGTATTTTTTTCATAATAGTTTTTAATAATTTTTTAAATTAAATAACAAAGTAAATATTAAAATAATAAACAACATTATATTTATTAGCTTATTATATTTTTTATATTGCAAACTTGTTATCTTTTCTTTTCTCTTGAATATTTTTTTATAGTTTTTAATAATTTCTCTTGAATATTGTGGGAGTTCTCAAACTTATATCTATTCCACACACTTTTTTTCAAATGTATAGATATACACAACATATGTACACATGTTTATAAATATATGCTCTATAACTATATGCTCTATAACAAATATAAATAAGGTCAATAAGAAAGAAAAATAAAGTCTTTTATTATAACATAACCAGTGAAAATGGTTGGAAAATATATAATATATAAGTACATTTAACACTTATGCAAAACTTAATGATTTAACACGCCTATACTATACATATCTTGGTATAGGTTTTGAAAATTGATCTGCTACCATATCGTGCATAGTTATGTACTTCATATTCACTTCTTTTGGTACAACCATATCATTCACGAAATTGTATTTAATATTTATATGTTTCATTTTTCTATAAAATTTGAGATTTTTGGTATATTTTGTTGTTGCTTAACTGTCACATATTACAATTATTGGTTCACTGGCAATACCATTGACTCCCAAATGGTTCATAAACCTTTTTATCTAAACAATTTCTTGTACTCAGTTGAAAAAGCTACAAACTCAACTTCCATTGTGGAAATGGCTATACGTAATTGATTCTTACTACTCCATAATATGGCCCCACCAGTTAGTAAGAAAACAAATCTAGAAATAGATTTTCTCTCATCTAAATCTCGTCCCCAATCAACATATGTGTAACCCTTCAAGTATAAATTAACCCCTTGATAACACAATGAATAATCAGCTGTGCCTTTGAGATAACGTAAGATTCTTTTCATCGCTTTCTAATGCACTTGACTAGAGTTGGATTGATATCTACTTATCATTCCAACTACATGATATATATTAGGCTTTATGCACATCATAACATACATAAGGCTTCCAACTGCACTTGAATAAGGAACTTTGTTCATTTGTTCCTTTTCTTATGGTGTTTTACGACACAACCTTTAGCCTAAGGGTATCGATGAGTTTATAATCTTACATATAAAATCATTCAAAAATCTTTTTAATATATGATTCTTGTGAAAGAGATAACAAATTCTTTGAACAATCTCTTGAAATCTTAACTCTAATGATATATGCAATCTCACCCATATCTTTTATCTTAAA